GTGTGTGTGTGTGTCTGTCTGTGTGCCTGTCTGTGTGTATCTGTATATGTGTCTGTGGTCGGTTCTGTGGCGTGTGTGGCATGCTTGTGTCTACAGCCCACAGGAGTCTAATGTACATAACATATACAGAACCGGATCCTAAGGCAGTACAAACCAGACAACACTTGTACTTATTCAGAGCTCTACCGTGAATTCCGAATTCCCCAACCGCAACCTTACGAGTTCGACTAGCCGGAAGCATTCCCGTCGGAGAGGAGAAGCTGTCTATAGTAACAGTAGCTGTGGTGGCAGCATTGTCGTCGCTGTTCGGTGGTTTGGCCCTCATGAGGCCACGACGAGAAGCCCGGGCTGTGGCCTTGCCAGGAGCACCGCAGACCGGCCCCGGCCCTCGCAACGGTCGAAGACCACGCTGGGCGACACTGCCAGGCAGCTGATCTGAGCCAGCTGGCTTTTTTGGAGGTTTACATGTGAAAGTTGAAGTAACTAAGCTTTATTTTGCACAGGTTCTCCCCAATCCTCAGAAGCCATCTGTACTTACACTTGCTTCAAAAACCTTATGCCGCTCGATAACCGAACCTGTCTCAATCCTCGAATGCAGTCGGACTGCTGCAAAGTCGAAGCCGAGTGGTGCACCTCGGAGCTTTCTTGCTTTGTGCATGGAGCCCACTTGAGCGTGGCTCGGAGAGGAAGGCATTCGAGCCTTGGGCCTGTTCGGGCTCGGATGTTGAACTTTCAGGGTCTTGCTGCTTGCGGGAGAGATGCAGAACTGTCGTGAACTTGGGATCTGCTCTGACACCGGTGAGCCCGAACCCAGAACTGCTGGACTTGAATGTCCGTTGCAACTCGAGGCATACATGCGTTGCAAATCTTTTTCATCTCCTGGCGGTCACTGACAGGCTGCGAACGGCAAAATACCTCAGCGCAAGACGCACACACAGACACACACTTGCTTGCTTGCTTGCTTGCTTGCTTGCTTACTTACTTACTTCAACACAGGACGGACGCGGAGAACGCAGCTGGAGCGTGAACGTGACTCTGTAGATGCATGGCAGGCTGCAGGGCCACTGGTACAGAGTCGGCTCCGCAGCGGACGGTGCCACCATTTGAGAGCGTGGCCACGAAGTTGCAGGGCTGCTCGCTGGCCTTCGCGAGTGCGCCAGATGATAAACACAATCTGAGTCGACCTCACGGAGTCCTTTTTGCTAGAGCAGCTAGAGTCTATCTATGGGCGCTGGCAGAGAAAGAAGAACTCTGAAATCCGCACTTTCCCTTCTTTCGCGCTAACTCGGGGCCGAGGAGCTAGCTGCCGCACGCCTTGCCTCGGTCATGCGAGGCTCCAAAAATGTATTTGTTTTGCTTGCGATCTATGTTATATGTTATGTGGCTGTGTCGTTTATCCGTTGTCTTGCTTGACTTATTACATTCGCTTCATTTTAGCATAGAATTGCCAGCACATCGGGGAAGCATTGTGGGCCTAGCAACGACTAGACAGGGCGAGGAAGCATTGTGACATGGGTGCCGTTCAACGCTGAAGCCCGCGGGGGGGAACGATGTTCGGATGGTGCCCTGCAAACGGTGGCGGGGAAACTTTCTGGTAATGGCGTCTGTCAAAAACTGAACCGTGCCACAGCATGGCGGAAACGACTATGGTGGTGGTCCTGGTGGTTGCGGTGGCTTCCCATCCTGATCTGCAGGTGGTTTCCTGATGGTCTCTGGGTGTCATGCCGGTGTCTTCTGCTGATGCTGAGGACCAGACGGCATGGCATTGTGGGGTTAGGGCTTGTGGTTTAAGGGTTTGAGATACATAGGATTACGGGTTGAGGGAGTTCGCTGAAACCGCCAAGAATTTGACGGACAGATGCTGAGGCCAGTGGGCCGGAGGCCATGGCTAGCGTCTATGGTTCTTCTTTTGAACACCCTTTTCCACTGCACTGGAGTCTTCCATGGGGTTTAAGGCTTAGGGCTTCTTGAGCTTTAAGGTCTTGCTTGCTTAGGTCCCAGAAACTGATAAACTGATAAAACATACCATACCCCGCCCAGCTCACAACAGTCAGCCCAGCCAGCTGCAGAGGAGGATTGATGAAACCCTGTTGGTGTAAACGGGAGTGCCGTGAGCCTGAAGGCTGAAGATGCTGAAGGCATCTGAAAGCCTCTCGGGTCCTTTGGAACGAGTCGCAGCTGTTCGCGCATCTCGGAGATGTCACCTCCGCACTCGGCGAAGCCCCAGGCCACGACCTGTGCACAAAATACTGTGTTCTAGGATTCTAGGAGCCCTGCTGGTGAAGCAAAACGGGCGACTTCAACAAATGCATGTGGGATGCTCGTTGGAAGGCAGCACTTCGGCTCAACTGAGTTTCCGGCCGATCCGTCAGCCAGCAGAGCGGCAAAAGCACCGCCAGTTGACACGAGGTCCCTGAGCAATGGGAGTGGGAACTACGCGCAAGCCAACCCGCAGCTCTGTGAAAGCACATACCCCAGAGCGGCAGGAGATCAGCAGAGCTTCCGATATTGAAATTTGAGAGGCCTGCCTTCAGGCTAGGCGATCGTATATCTGCACAACAGCAACGTCAATGCCTCTGCCAATACGAGCCCTGAACCCACCATTGAAGACTGAAGAACACGAAAAGCTCAGCGAAGCGACTGTGCCCCTGAGGGTAAAGGCCTATCTGGGGCAGCCACAGAACAAAACCTAAACCTTCGCAGACTCTTCGAACTCCTTGGAAGTTCCCAGCAACTGCACGTGCGAGGCTTCAGCGTGGTGTGCCTGACATCCGTGAGGCTGTCCTGGACGGCGCGGCTGTCTCCCCCGAACCTAGGCGGTGAGACACTGTCAACCTCGTCTGCCTGGACACAAACATCCTCGGCAGAATCTAACTTTTCACGGGTCCTCCTGCAGCGGGAAGGGTTCCAAAAGGCGGGAAAAGCCGACATGTTTGCAGAGAACCCAGGCCTGAACAATTCTTCACAGCAGGAACCACTCATGACAACAGAAACGGCAATGATAGCAGTAGCAAGGGCGACCATGATATGCTAGTCATCATCGTCGAGAGTGCAACAAGAAGCGGTCGTCACTAAGCACGAAGAAGAACCAGTCCGAACACAATGCAGAGTCTGAACATGCAGGCATTACATGTTGTGATGACAGCTAGCAGCTAGCGGCAGCTAGCGGATATTTTCTAAGGGCCTGCTGAGGAGCTGGGCATGGCCCCAGGTGACAACGGTGCCTTCTTCTCGCAGCGCGGCGAAGGCCAAGGAGCCGGCGCTCAGCTTCGAGATGCCTTGACAGACGTCAGTCCCATTGAGGGTCTTAGTCTTCGGCTGCCCTAGAGCACCATAAGATAGCAACCAGAACACGCGCGGATTACATCGAAGCCATTTCGCAAGAACTTCTCTTGAATCTGCTCAAGTGCTGTTGTCGCGCCGCTGTTCTATTTGGAGGACAACCTATAGAGCCCTGTCAGTGTCTTTCCCATTGGGCCGACTCTCGCTGTGAGCGTCCTTCAAAGAGATCAGGCCCCCACCTGCCTCTGAGCTCGTGCCGGAAGGCCGAAGTGTCACCCCCTGCTAGCTCCATGCCCCAGGTCACCTGAGCATCGTTTTTGCGGCTGTGGTAGCAGTGGTTGTAGTCGGAGCAGGAAAGACTTAAAGGCAGACATTCAGAGCAAACTGAAGGCCGATGTTTCAGAAAGCAATGGCAAGTGAATCTGCACAGAAAGGCCGATTGCCACATTTTCTGAAGCTCTCTCTCTACAGCCACAGTCCAGGGTGCCACGTCTCCGTCCTCCGTCAGTGCCGCAAATGCGCCACCGGTTGCTTCAATCCTGAGCTTTTGACAACCCGATGGAGCAGTCACCCTCACATGACGACACATTGAATGGATGACACCGAGGCTCTGGATGACATCTTTCAGCCGCTCGGAGACCATTTGGCCTGGCATCACGACATGTCTGCGGCTCCCGCACCTCTTCGCCAAAACGAGGCCGAGTTGCTGTCGCCGCCGAAGCTTGCTTCGCCCCAGGTCGTCACGGACCCATCTGAGCGAACGGCCGCGAAGGCGCGGAAGGTACCCTGCATGAGAGCATGGAGCACCCGGGATATCTTGCACGATTTCCGTGGGCAGGTGCAGTACTAGAATCGCTGGCACCCTGTCGGTCTTTGTCCCTTCTTCCTTCCCTTGAGCTTCTGTGCTGCTCTGTTGATTTTCGGGCCTGCCGTGTCCGTCGTGACAAATTGGCTCGAGCAATTTGCAATTGAGGGTGTCTCCACTACGCAAGAAAGCAAAACCCGCGGCGGTCTCTACAGTCCATCCCAGTTCCCGCACTTTCCATGTACAGCTGCTGACAGAAGCGCTGGATACCACTGGTACTGTGCCTGACTTCCATGTCCGATGCCTGGATTTGCTTGACATCGGCAAGTTCGTTGGCACCGTCTGAGTTGCACTCCCGGATCCCGAGCCAACCAGTTTCGGATTATTAAAATCGGAGATTAAAGCCTGCGGCTGGCAGCTTTCTCAAGCAATTGGTCTGAGCAGGCTTGTGCAAATATACCACAAACACACATCATCTGCACTCATGGGTCTCATGTGAGTAATGGCGAAGAACTAGCTGTGTAGTAATAACGACCTGCACACAGCCAAACACAACGGCAGTCATAATCAGAATGGCAGTAGGACTGACGATGCAAACGGAGCAGTTCAAAAGCATGTCAGATCCAACTGTGCGAGGCAGCGCAACAAACAGACCACAGAATCACGAATAGACGCTCTCCCCGGAGATGTTCAACTAAGATCAAACTTTGATCTGCTAGCCTGCGAGTAGCCTTAGATAGGTGGCAGGACAACACTTTGTCATAACCTTACGCTAGATACACTAGTCTAAATGGGGTGGACAATACCGCTATAGCGCACCACATGGGAAAGCCAGCATAATCATAAGTGAAAAGAAGTTTGGCTCCAAGAGGCTTACAAGGCCACCTCGATCCGGATGGCCCCAAGTCACCTGGCCGCTGTCGGCCCTGGATCTGAAATTACAACATGAACCTTGGATCCTGGAGCCCTTGCTTTCTCGGCTGCAGGAATATATAGGCCTAGTGGCTCCTTCCGAGTTTGTACCACCTCTCCCGTAATTCGGAGTGGACCGGATGCTTCTTTAGTCAGTAGGCTCTATCCTCAAGGGATGATCTGCTTGGCAAAACCTGCAAACACTTGGCCAATGATTTGCGACTTTGCTGTCGTTGTTTGTGACTTCGATCTGTGACTTGGGTTTCGCTTGCCAGCGGGGGTTGACACCTTTGTGCCAACATCCTGAAACCTTATATCGCTGGGAAAGGTTTTCAATTGACAGAACAGAACCATGCAAATATCTAGAAAGTCTCTAGACATGCGGACAGTGCAGGAAAATCATAGGAACAGCAAAAAACAGGGAAAACACATGGTAACAACATTGCAATGCTCCACAAAGACCCTTCAGATTCAAATGGGCTAGGCACCGCTTAGTCCGCCACCATCATACTAACGCAGTTGCAATATGAATACGATTTGCGAGCAAACCGATTCAGCTGCAGAAGCTACATGGAGCACCGGATGAACATTTTTCAGTGATTTAGTGGTGAGCTTTCCGAATATGACCCAGTTTGCGGGAGTTACATACCTCCAGCTGCGGGACCAGTATCTAGGTGCATGCAACAGGTTCATGGAGTAGTATTGTCCTAGGTACATACATACATATACATATATACATATGCAAATACGCATGCAAACTACACGCATATACAAATCCATCCATCCATCCGTCCGTCCATCCATCCCTCCGTCCATCGATCCATACATACATACACACGCGCACACACATGCATGCATGCATGCATGCATGCATGCATACATACACAGTTTCATGTAGCTGCGCATACATTAAATTACGTTACATTACATTACATCACATTACATTGCATTTATATTAC